ACTCACTCACTCACTCACTCACTCACTCACTCACTCACTCACTAACTAACTAACTAACTAACTAACTAATTAATTAACTAACTAACTAATCAACTAACTGACTACCTAACTAACTGACTGACTAACTAACTAACTAACTAAGTAACTAATTACTAATCAACTAACTGACTACCTAACTAACTGACTGACCAACTATCTAACTAAGTAAGTAACTAATTAACTAATTAACTAACCAACTAACTATTACCTGAATAGTCTACCTGTCAACGTATGGGTTATATCCATTATGGGATTTAGCCTTGACATCAGCTGGGGTAGTGGGTTATCTAAAACAAAGCTGAGCTCCATTGGCCATGACCCCTAAACCACTAAAAAGAACATCGAGATGACGATTTTCTAATCTAACTTTAGCAAATATTCATTGTTGGAGCTGGGCGGCGTGCGTGTTATGCTGGATTCATTCGAAGATGGACCATATCTGTATCGCGCCAGCTTGCTGTGCTTGAGCTTTCCTTTGATCTTGGACAAGTGATCGCCGGATACTTGTTTTCTCCTGAAGGGCAGTCGAAATGTGGTACCGTTGTTAGGAAAAACCAAAAACTTAAATTATTACACTCCAACTTGTGTTCTGACCGTATCCGTGACTGGGCATAAAAAAATCAGTTTTGTGTGTTCAGACGCTACAATGGATGCCCTTTTGACACAGTGGACAAAATCACAAGAAATCCTTACAGCTTCCTTGTTTATGCAAGGGATTTGCGTGTAACGTGCTCCGCACCGGAATATTTTATCTGGTTAGTGTACTAAGATTCAAAAATTGGATAGATTCGTTGTAGACATATCAAAAGTAAACTATCACGCAAATGTACGTTGCCATTTCAGCTTTATTGCGGTGAGGCTTTAATCATTTATCGCGTTAACTGCAAGATGTTGGCACTGCAACTGATACCATCACCTTTCCTTAGGATGTTCAGCTGTCTTGTTGAATAAAAATGAAACTAAGCCCAGACGGATCATCTACCCTAACAATATTACTCTCTTTTGTGCCATGTGTACAAGTCTTGTCGTACGTAAAGTGGTCGTATCTTCCTAGTGTCACGTGTCCTTGTACCATCCCATTAAGCTGATTAATCAATAGGATCATTCGTTCGTAAACGTACCAGACGACAAGGACATCGGAACTGATTGACCAGCTGGTCCAATTTCAGCGCTTCAATTAGTTCAGGCTCATCCAGTGCTTCAGCAACATCCTTTTTATTCGCAAGTCTAACAGGACTAGTCTGTGAAATTCACGAGAAGACTTACAACAACACTGGCTTGCCGGACACCGAGGAGTGGCCAGAAGCTAAGTAAACTATCACGCAAATGTACGTTGCCATTTCAGCTTTATTGCGGTGAGGCTTTAATCATTTATCGCGTTAACTGCAAGATGTTGGCACTGCAACTGATACCATCACCTTTCCTTAGGATGTTCAGCTGTCTTGTTGAATAAAAATGAAACTAAGCCCAGACGGATCATCTACCCTAACAATATTACTCTCTTTTGTGCCATGTGTACAAGTCATTGTCGTACGTAAAGTGGTCGTATCTTCCTAGCGTCACGTGTCCTTGTACCATCCCATTAAGCTGATTAATCAATAGGATCATTCGTTCGTAAACGTACCAGACGACAAGGACATCGGAACTGATTGACCAGCTGGTCCAATTTCAGCGCTTCAATTAGTTCAGGCTCATCCAGTGCTTCAGCAACATCCTTTTTATTCGCAAGTCTAACAGGACTAGTCTGTGAAATTCACGAGAAGACTTACAACAACACTGGCTTGCCGGACACCGAGGAATGCGCCAGAAGCTTGGAAAGCACCCCACGGCATTCACTCAGACGTTCTGTATCACTAGAGTCCACGACAAATATTATCCCATGCACTTCGGCAAAATAGGTCTTCCATATATCTCGTATGGTACGGCCACCGCCCAGGTCGTATAGATTAACGTGGAACTTGCCAGTGGAAAATTCTATTCGATCAAATCCCACTGTCGGGGCAACCAAATCGCTGGAAACTTGACAGTTAGTGGGGTTTGATAATAACGGAGCGCGAGACTTACTGCCCTTGATGCTCCTGGTAGTTGTGGTCTTTCCAGCATTGTCCAATCCCAAAATGACAAGATAAATGTCTCTAAAGAGAAAGCAAAGTTTTTGGCAAGGGATAATAGCAGGCCAACTGACGGATAATTAAAGAATATAACGGTTGAGTGTATCCATTCCAAATTATCCTGTCAAGACAGCTGTATCATCCAGCTGATTGAATAACTAAGGTATTTTTCGAGAAACTTCCGGATAGCGTTCACTCTTGTGACCAACTGCAGCTTGCTATCAAATTTTCTTCTGCCTAGTTAAAAACATTATCTGGATTCACGAGTCCCTTTTTTCAGACTACAACGACCTCAAAGATTCCGAATGAAAAGAGTACCACTGATATTCAGTTACGTTCTATACCTGCAGCGTAAACAAATACACTGATTGACATTGCTGTGAAATACGAAGCTGCGCCGTTCATTGGTCTGAATTGCGATGAACCAATATTTCTTACGTCCAGCTATACTCATATAATGGTCGAAAACGAATAGAGAAACATAGAGTGAAAGAAATATAAACCGCAGATCTCACCATTGTAGCATTGTATTATTGACGACCCTGCCTCTGTGATATGCCTAAATACTCGTCGGTTGTCCCGGGATGGACTAACAGCTTAGGGTTTCAAATAAAATAAGGGACATTTATCTATTTATGGCGCAATTTCGGAATTGATCACAGCTATACAACTGGCGTTGGCTGAACACCCAAGACCGTCAGAAATGCTTCTTCAAGGCGCCCAAGCATTTATTATTGACGACCCTGCCTCTGTGATATGCCTAAATACTCGTCGGTTGTCCCGGGATGGACTAACAGCTTAGGGTTTCAAATAAAAGCTGTTTTTTCTCTGGCCTGGATGCTTCGGAACTTCTATACTGCGATTTTTGTGAAATCTGAGTGCCCCACTAGGTCTTCGGGTATGCTAAGAATGTGAACTTCCTGAAGACGCATCGAAATTAGAACGCATTTCTTTGCACAGTTAAATCTCAGATATGATGGAATTATCCAGGAAGCTGAAACGCGGAAACATTCTGGCTATTCCAAGATATGAACTCCGGATATCCCAAGCGATCGACTTAATGCTAAACAACCAGGCACTTGGCGTCCATGAACTGTAAGATCCTACAGGTAAACATGTTCAACGCTGTTGACTCACAAACACTTAATAAGATATTTGTAGATATAAAGTTTCCAAACAGAAGAAATATTTGGGAAATGGAAAGCGGTAAAACCGCGATCAAAAGGTTACGGATGGCCTAAAGAAAATTGAGGTGTGGTCAAGAGTTATGTGTGGCAAGCCAAAACAAATCAGTCTGCCGATACGCAGATTGCGACTAGTATTGGTAGTCATGGCGCGTCCAACAATGGTTATTCACAGACTGGGTGCACGTCTCAGGTTCACTTGAAACTCAACTATGCATACGTAGGCACCAAAATTCCCTGTAGACCTCGAAACCAATCTGCTGTTTCCGGTTCTTCCTAACTCGACATCTTGTCACCAA